TAATGATCATTTATCGCTAAAATCTATGACCTAGTACGGTCCATTTTAGAGGTGCCAAAAGTACCATTGCCTGCAAATCTTAACAGCGGGGTACCCATTGTGAACCATTGTTTGTTTTTCTAAAACCTGGTTTTATTTATTGAGGATTAGCACACTTATTCTTAGCTACTGTTTGACCTGATTATAATTTATTGCCTTTTCGAATATTATTTACAGATGTGTTGATTTAAGATCAAAAGAAATATTGTATTTATTTAAAGGTTATCCTAAAATTTTATTATATCGGTTTTGTAAAGCGTGTTTAATTAATTAATAATATTTGGAATAAGTGAATTATTATTTAAATTGTTTTCAATTAGGTATATAGAACATTAGTGACTAACAAAAGATGACTAAAGCTTTAGTAACTTAAATGAGTTAAACCGCAATTATATTAATTTGCAAAAATTAATGTGTTAATTATTATTACTATTATATTATTATATTACTATTATAGTATTGTTCTTTAGACATGATGCATATGGTTATCTATAAAATATTATTTTAATGTTGGCACTGTTATAAATAGAAATACATTTACCTTTATGGTTGAATACAGGGGCGGCTAGTGCATAAGGGCTGCAGAGCTGCAGAACTCCCAAAATTTTCTTATTACTTGACTAATTTTTTAATTATTTAATATTTAAGTGCGACAGTGTATGAATATTTCAAACGCATGGCTGCATAAAAAGTTTTTATTATAAACATTCGCCGTACTTGGCCACTACAGTCATCCAAACGACCGGTAAAGGTCTCTAACGCTTAACGCTTACAATACAACAAAGCTGGGCCACTTTCGAGTTCTGGATCCCATTTCAATACCGTAATTTTGCTCCGCGCCGCTCTTGGTCCTAGGTTGAGAACCTTCTTTATCTCTGGTTGAGATAGTTAAATTTAAGCCAAACCGGAGCTGCACCAACATACAGTTCCTACTTCCCGGTCGTTTGTTTTTCGCTTCGCGTGCACGTTTGTTATTTTAACTAGAAGACTGTTAATTCGGTGTATTTTTGTGTTTGTTGTTGTATTCTTTTGTAAGAATGAATGTGGTGTATGATTTAATTATGATTTAATTAATTAACTGTAGGTACCATTTAATTAAATGCCCACTGCGCCACATTTTTTTAAACCCCACTGGCAGAACTCACAAATTTTACTGCCACGAGCCGCCACTGGTTGAATACACTAGAATCAATGAAACAATTTCTATACGTATTTTTCTTAATAATTTAGTATTTTTTTAAATGCAGATTAAAAAATTTATGGTTATTATTTCGGTATTTGCTTAAAAATAATAGGTAATTTTAGTTTTATTGTTAGAAGAACAATGCCTTTTTAATTAATTATAACTGAAATAAAATACATGTTTTAATTTTATGTCATTAAAAGACTCAAGGATAAATTTCATATAAAAGGCTCGAGTATTTAGAGAAACTCTAATACAAATTTTCCATAATAATTGTAATACATATTTTTTTAAATTGTATTGTTTACTTTTTTACGATTTTAAATTCTTATAATTTTCCCATGAACAATAAATCATTGTTTCTTTAAGATTTCATTTCATCGTTTGTTCAATTTTTTATTATTTTTTTACAGTTATAACTATATATATCCATGATTTCTTCTTTTTCTACTTCTACTTTTAAAACGTCCATTATCGTACATGTTTCCATAACACTAAGTGATCTTTTATATAATGCAGAAATTATTCTAATATCTCAATACAAAAATACAAAACTATTAAATAGTTTCTTGACACCATTGAAAAGTTTATGTTCACGATTGTACTGACCATTTGATTTCGCCTACAGCAAACTTGTATTTGTCGATAAAGCATTCATAATTTCGGGTGGATTAGCCATACAAACATCCCCTTCACTTTCACTGTGAAAAACTGCTTCTATATTGGATTTAGACGGTTGTTAGTCCATTTTCCAACACCAACTTTGGTTATTCCATTTTTGTATAGATTATTTAATTAGTAATAAATTTAGCATGCAACTCGTTTATAAACTTTTCTACACTAATTTTATTAAACACTTGCTCGCAAGCTTCGCTTGCTTTCGTGACTAAAATGGCGTTCATGAAACTCGATACATAATATACACATTAAAATGAATTAAAATGAATTAGTCAAAAATTACTAAGTCAATTTGACCAATTGTCATAGCGAAATAGCAGTCACTAATAATTAGTCAAATACTGAATGACACAGTCAAATTAGTAGATTTAAATTTAAAAAAGTATTGACCCCTCAGGTCTCTCTCTTGTCAAGCGGATGTCAAGCATGCTCTACTGTCACTTTTATAAAAATTTGTTTTATTTGTCTATAAATACCATTAATAATATTTTAAAGCAAAATATATTTTTGCATGGAGCCTATATGCCTTTAACTCTAAAAATAATTTGTTGTTGGCCGCAAGAAATACTAACTATCAAAGAAATTAGTTATTTTTTACTCTCAGAAACAGTCAAATATGGTGACTTACGTATCTTAAATTAGTCAAACTTTAACTAATTAAGTAGTAAAAAATAACTACCGTAAACACGGGTGGCTTTAGCTCACTTTTAAACTTAATCTTAACATTTTTGTAGTTTTAACAATCATAAACATTAAATATTGTATACCAAAATTTCAGTCTTGAGTTGCTCTTTTATAATAACTATGTTATAATCTTACATAAGGCTGAGTTTCAAAAATAAAAATTAAAACCTGGGTGTACAAAGTTACCCCCTGGTTGCGGGTTACTTTGTCTCACACTGTATTGTCCGTATAAAATTAACTAAATATTTTATTTTAATTTTATTAGACATATGTTAGAAGCGACATATAGCAATTGCAAGTGATTACCGATAAAAATAATAAAAAATCGACCTGTAGTTAACCAAGGATCATCATTCCAAAGAATTGCGCGTAATATAGAAATTAAAACGCGTGTATTTTTAAGAGTTTTGCACTAATGCAATATATACAACTTTAAAGTGTAATAAATCCCATTTATTTTTTTAAAACACTGATTTTCCTGTAATATAAAGTCAATAGAATCGCTCAATTGACAGGTTTAGACCAACAAATTATAAATGTTAATTTTATCGAGCGCGAAAAAATTTTTCATAAAAGGGGTGCAGTCACCCGTGTTTACGGTATTTAAAAGTGAAAACGATTACCTTTTTTATAAGTAAACAATGCTGGTACTAATTCAAATAGAAGAATTTTGACTATTTTATTTTAAGAAAGTGTGTGTAATTTTTTAATACATAATTTTTATTTTTCTACTTTAGTAATTTTAAGATTTAATATAATTTTGAAATATGAGTTTTAAACTTTTTGGTTTAATAAAAAAATTAACATTCATTAGGACAAGCTAAAATAAGATGACCTAAAATAAATCAATCTCTGGTTAAGTTCCAGTTAGTCTATCTGACAGTTAAATTCCATATCGATCGTTGTGAGAACAATGGTATCCATGGAAATTATCTACCAGATAACTAACTGCAACTTTAACTGCAAATTTTTCCGGAAATTTAAAAACCGGCCCTTAAAGTTGTTAAGTTTACCATTTAACTTAATTAATATTGATTTCAGACTAGGGTTTTAAAATTTCCGGAAAAAATTAGCTGGCGGAAAAAGACCGTTTTTTCAGGAAAAAAACGAAAAAATTTGGTCATTTTTTAGAAAAATTGACTTTTTTATTTTTTATATTTTATTCAAAGAGTAATACTAAAAATTGCAAATTTCCAAATATTTACGGATAATATCCGTACAATGATATCGAGAAAAATTTCCGGGGCTCAAAACATATTCATGTTAATCTTAAACATAACTTTTATTTAAAACTTCGATTTATAAAATTATAATTTTGTAATTTAACTTTATAAATCATTCATTATTTTGTAGTTAATGGACTCCTTTTTGCAAAAAAAAACCCAACCGAAAGTAATTTTTTTTTTTTGTAATAAAGAATATTTTTTTTTTATTAAAATAATGTTAAGTTCAGAGTTGGGAGTACTGAGTATTTTTTTTAATGGATTATGCTATCATTACTAATTATTACTTGATATTATAATTGTAATGAGAGAAAAATATTGAGTACTTTTTATTTTTACTTTACCAATTTGATAATAACAATTTTTTTTTTATTTTGTAATTATAATCAGAGAAAATATCAAGTACTTTTTATTTTAACTTAAAATGTTTACTGATTCTAAATATTTTTTTATTTATAATTAAAAAATAATAAAGAACAGAATACATTATATTTTTTTTTTTTGATTTGTTTAGAATGGTGAATAAGGATACTTCCGTGCTTGTTTATGTTTTTATTGCGACTAGTTTCGATCTATATTAGATCATCTTCAGGCAAACTATAAAAATATGTAAAATTATTATAAGATTATGTTAACATGATAATGATAAAATTAATAGTTTAAAGTAACAATACAATGGTTGATAACAAATATTAAATACTTACATGTCAATAATTAAAATATTTGTAAAAAGGTTTATCAATTATATTAAATATATGCATAAAGATAGTTTTAGATTCTGATTAAAATTATTTACAATATACAATGACTTGAAGGACGATGTATTCTTGGTACTTGTATTTTCATTTATATTTTAAGTACAATCAATTTTTTACTTTGACTTTAAACTTTTTGCATTACGAAGTACTATAAAATATTATTTATTCAAATTAATAAGTACAATTATTTTTGTATTTTTACTTTAAATCAATTTAGAGTAAAAAATACAATGTATTGAAAATTTTTATTTTCTCCATTCTCAAGTAACTTACATATTCTAAAGGCAATACTTTTTAAGTACAAATCTCGCAACTCTGGTTAAGTTATCGATTGCTACTTTTTTTCAAATGTTTATATTTCCCAAAAAAATTTTTTTCAAGGCCTGGGCAAAAAAAAAAGACAAGTACATTAAAAAAACTATTCCTTCTTTTAAGGTCCAAGATCGCCTAGAAGATCCTCCATCTTTACCGAAACCGACGTCAACCGAAGGCAAGGAACTGCTCAAGGACTTATCCTTACGCTGCGGCCGTTCTAGGAACCGGGAAGCTCGCGAGTTAGCCTCTCTGCTAAATCAGCCGCACATCAAAGCACTAATCGACACACATGACGAAGTAGCGGAGATCGTCGAGCATCCGGAAATTTATTCGAAACAGAAAAAAGACGACACGCCCAAATTATTTCCCAACGGGATGACTGGAGACGCCATGAGGATGGTCGGGGTCCGGAAGAAGGCCGGAGAACCTCTAGGCCTGACGGTAAGAAGTCTATTTTTCAAATTGACAATCTAAACTTTTATTAAAAAAAAACAAAAGATAGGTACTGAATTTTATTACACTGCGCGTCAAAATTCACCCATAATAACTAAAAAAAATTCTAACTCTAAAACGCCTTTACCAATCTTTCTGAAATTTTGTATAAGAATACTTTAACTTATATCTCAGTTTACGTGTTGGAGGATTTTTCGAGAAAATATTTTAAAAGCCCTTTTATTTAATATTAAAAAAAAACGCTCGAAAGATACAGCGCTTCAAAGTCGGTAAAAATTACCCCTTTTTGATTATTTTGCTGTGCTGAAAAGTGGTCATTCCCTATAAAAGTTTTTTTTCGAGCGTTTTTTTTTAATATTAAATAAAGGGCTTTAAGGATATTTTTTCGAAAAACCCTTGAAAAAGTAAACTGAGATATAAGTTAAAGTATTTTTATCCAAAATTTTATAAAGATTGGTAAAGGCGTTTTAGAGTTAGAATTTTTTTACTTATTATGGGTTAATTTTGACGGGCAGTGTATTTGTTTTCCTAAGCTGTAAAAATAATTTAGACCAATCAGGTTGTATCCTAGTCAATCAAAAATCTCACTTTATACTTTTATTAATTGTTATTATATACTATAGTAAAAGGTATTTGCAGATAAAATGTTGTAAACACTTCGGTTAAGACGTTTCTTTTTTGTGCTTTGCCCAATTGTAGCTCAGCATAAGAAAACTTACTTCTCAGCCTTATACATAAATAACTATTATGTTTAATCAAAAAACCTCCTAGTCTTTAAAAACAATTTAAACCACAGCTCGTCAATCTAGAAGTAGATAATAATATTTTATCTATTTTGGTTTCATAATGACTTCATTATAACACCGCTTTTGGTTCTTTAATGAGGTACTTTATTCCACCCAAAATTTTGATTTTATAGGTTGGCTACTGGTATAATACAATTTTGAATACCTATAGGTTATAATATTTTTATGATTTGTTTTCTAGTACTTACGAGACTTTTCGTGCAATAAATTTTGTTTAACACCAAAGAAAATCCTTTTTTCTTCTTTAACAGCCGCTTATTGTAAATACTTATTGTAAATTAAGGACGCTATAGCGAAAGAATGTGATAATGTTTGAAAGGTTAATGACCTTTCAAACTTCAAACTGAGATACCAACTATGTAAAGTAAAATTCGACCAAATTAAATATAAGGTATAAAATTAATTTGTTTTATGAAATGTTTGCAAAATAGATAAAATAGCATAAAGAACTCATGTCATAAGACCTTTTGTCGCACTCGTCCATTACAAAACTCGCTCCTTCGTCGCTCGTTTTATAAATTGTCCTCGTGCGACAAAATGACGTCTTATGACATTAGTTCTTTAACATACTATTATGTATCAAGTTTGATAAACGCCTGAAAAAGTTTATATACGACATATTATCTAAAAAAATATTTAAATTTAAAGGGACATCTTTACGAACAAAAAGTAACCATCCCAATAACCTTTTTGACGTAATTTTCACAATTAACATTGACCGTTATTATTTTAATTAAACTTAACAATTATTGATACTTTATAAAATTAAAATAACTTCAAAATAGGATTATGTTAAAAAAATGTTTTATTGCTTGATTTTTTTATCACTATAATCGCAAAATATTATCATAAAGTATTAAAAATTCTTACACTGGAAATGTTAAACGTACAAAAAGTGACATTGGTATTTATTGGAATTCCCGTTAGAAATTTCTAACTTGTAAATCTACCATCGTTAAAATCTTAAATGTTTCAGTGTAAATCAAAATTTATCCCTTGAAAATAGAATAACAATCGATATAGAAGCAGTTTTTCACAGTAAAAAAAAGAGAATGTTTTATGGGCACTGTACGCAAAAATTTTAACGCTTTATCATTTAAATCTAGTTAACTGCACTACTACTGCGAAATCAAAAGGTCGTTCATATAATCTTTTCAAATATTGGCCTATTTAATATTTTGTATTTAGATAATAAAATAATTTTTACATTTAGTATTATTTTACAAGATAGGCACTTTATTTTAACGGTTGTATGACATTTGACAACTGTCAACTAACCCGTAACTATAAACATGTTGCTAACTTCAGCCCGTGACTAAAGCGCCGAAAAAATATATATTTACCTATACATTTTCAAAAAGTTCTAAATATCACACTAAAATATATCTAGATTTTGTTTCTTTCTTTGTACGATGTATAATCTTTTTAAACACAATTTTATGAAAACGTTATAACAATTTTCTTCTAGGTTCAAGTAGATGACAATGACAACCTGGTAATAGCCAGAATAATGGAAGGCGGCATGATCGAAAAGCAAGGCCTCCTGCACATCGGCGACTGTATTTTAGAAGTAAATGGCACCCAAGTCCACACACCAGAAGATCTCCAGACTGAAGTAGCCAAATCCAAAGACCATGTAACATTGAAAGTGGGAAACACAAACTACAGCCCAGAAACTCATTCTGCCCTTGTCAATGGATCTAATGGAGTTTCCAAAAGGCTTACAGTAAGTCTAAACTTGTTTCTAAACGGTTTACTACAATTTATTTTTAGTGTTACATGCGAGCTCTCTACGAATACAACCCCCAAGAAGACACATTATTGCCCTGCAAAGAAATCGGTTTACCATTCGATAGGGGCGATATCCTTCAAATCGTAGATCAACGGGATCCGAATTGGTGGCAGGCCAAACAAGTGGGAGGCGATGGAAGAACAGGCTTGATCCCGTCGTTGGAACTTGAAGAACGACGTAAAGCTTTCGTAGCTCCCGAAGCAGATTTTGTGCACAAAATAAGCATATGCGGCGCTAGAATTTCCAGGAGGAAAAAGAAGATTATTTATCAGAGTAAAAGCAGCGCTGACTTTGACAAAGCTGAGCTGTTATTGTACGAGGAAGTTACTAAGATGCCGCCATTTAAGAGAAAGACTTTGGTTCTTGTTGGTACTCAGGGTGTTGGAAGAAGAACGTTGAAGAATCGTTTGATAAACAGCGATCCTGAGAAATTTGGAGGGGTGGTTCCTTGTAAGTACATATATTTCTCTATAAAATATTATAATGACGTTTTTTTTGAATTCTAGTTACTACCAGGCCACAACGTGTCTTGGAGGAAAACGGGCAAAGCTACTGGTTCACAGATCGTGAAACCATGGAGGAAGAAATCAAACAAGCAAAATTCTTGGAGTATGGAGAGTACAATGGACATTTTTACGGCACCCATTTGGATTCCATTAGAGATATTATCAAGCAGGGAAAAATGTGCATATTGGATTGTAGTCCGATGTCATTGAAAACTCTTCATAACAGCTCCGAATTTTTGCCTTATGTTATTTATATTGCTGCACCTGGTATGGAGCATTTAAAGACCCTGTATGATGCCGGAAAGAGCAATTCGAGATATAGCAGCAGGAATTTAACGGTGAGAAACTATTTTTTTAGATAATTGCTATCGAATGATAATAATGGATGATAATGATGTTATTGTAGTATTATTTTTATACATTATACATATGAGGCAGTGGCGCGTGAGCTCATCGACTGTCCATTTTTTGTGGAAATACGATTCTATACAAAGCATCTAAAATCAATCTAAAAAAATTGTGCATCTTTTTTTAAAGAATTTTTTTTGCGAATAAAAATTCATGTTCGCAACATTACTCTTTTATTATTAATTTTACAAAAAAAGTTTTCTTCAAAAAAGTTCTGCATGGCCTAAAACTTAAAATGCATCTATCAGGTATTAAAAAATCAACCCAATATTTTAATATTTTTATTTTTGACATAAAAGATTGTTGAAAATAAAGTATTTAAACTTGTAAACTACGTTCAAATTTATAGTCATGTATATATATATTGCTTAAAACGATGTTTTTTACATTTTCCTATATTATACCCACATGTTCTATTAATACATTTCAAATCAAGTTGCCATGATATTTACATGCTTGAAATTAAACGTCAAATAAATTATTAGTAAAGATGCCGGTAAATAAAAATAAATCTCTGTCATTAAAAGTATTTTACTATTGGGAAAAATTAATGTTTTCTGATATACCTCGTATATGACTGGGAAATTTCGATACCTTCGTCATAAGAAAACACCGAAAAACTATTTTTTCCAAGATTTTTGTTGTATGAAAATAAAATTGACAAAAATTATTATGGCTTTTTGGATGCGTGTACGAGATTTTTGTTGCATAAAAACAAAATTTGCAGAATGTTTTTTGATTAAATATCCGGAAAATAGCATAGTTTATATTACAAACAAAAAGTATTACAAGGAACATCCAAACATATTTTTACTTTTAAGTATTGTGCAGGAATTAATATAATTTTGGATAAAATATTCCTTAAATAAATACAAAAATAAGTAACATTATGTTACATCACACCAAAAAAATTTCATACGAAAGTAAATAAATAAATCTTTTTTAAAGGCCTGTAGGGATGAATAACCTCATTCACGATTATTCATGATAATAATAAACTTCCAAAATACCCCATATGTATAATTGGATTAGTGAGGATTTAAACAATTTATTTAAAGAATATGTTTTTATAACAATTATAAAAAAATATATAATAAAAATAAAATAGACATTTTTGTAACATTTGGTTTCGACATATGATTTACTATTCCATTGTTTATTATATGTATACAAAACTATTATTGTATTATTTCATTACTTTCTTATTTCTTATTTGGGTGTAAAAGTTGTTATTTTAAAAATTGATTACCCAGTATGTTATTTTTACAAAATGTATTTATTTAAGAAATACCTTTTCTTTGGAAGAAGCTGTAAAACAAATTTTACTTAAATTATATATAAATATATTACATTTTAATAAACAATAATTTTTTTTGAAATTTTCACACCCTGTACCTCAAAAACCATTAAACTTGATAAATGTTTATTTTATGTAAGTAATCTACATATGTATTTCTAAATAAATTTTATCAATTTTCATACCTTCCCTTTTTGGCGCCAGATCTGGTTTCACTTTAAAGGCAAATATATAAACAAATAATAGGTTTATCAGCTTATAATATATACGTAGGTAATTTGATCCGAATTTTTACAAAATTTGGACAGATATTTTTCCACTGCTTCATATAAGTTTTTTTTGGTATATTTAAGTCTTTTTTTTGACATTTTTATGGGTAAAACTATAATAATTATGAAATTATTTATGTTTTACCCAATAAAAATGTTTGTTTTACTAAAAATAGAAGAATAAGAATATTTTTTTTAATTTTTTTTGTTTTATTTCATTTTTTGTTTTATTTTTTTGCATGGTAGTTTGAACGACAGAGCTCGATTCGTTATAGTTCAAAAAGGGCAAGAACATTGGAATCATTAGCATCTTTATATGAAGTAAGTACTACATTAAGGTTCTACATATTTTGACATAATGACAAATTTTTTTATGGAAAATATGCTTTAGAGAACTTTTATGAATAATGTTTTAACAAAAAATTAAAAAATAAATATATACTAAGTATATATTTATTTTTTAATTTTTTGTTAAAACATTATTCATAAAAGTTCTCTAAAGCATTATATATATATAAGTACTTATATATATACAGGGTGTTTCATAATATATGCGCAGGACTTCAGGATGTGATAGCTCAACCAAAAAGATGAAAAAAGTCGCTATTAACTTACCCTCTAAAATGCACAATTTTCGAGATACAGGGTGTTGAAATTTTAGAAAAAAAAATCGTTTTTTTCGATTATCTCTGGAACCGTTTATCGTACAAAAAACAGCTTTTGTAAGCATTTTCTACTCATAAAAAGCTATGTTTTGTGTCAGAAAAAATTTTTTTTTACTCATAATTGGTGGAGATTTTGAAGGGGTAGCGGGTGTTTTTCTCCTCAACTTCTACGCCCCTGAAAAAAGTACGGTTTCGAGAAGCCCATTCGAACCACCAATGTTTTCTACACAAAAAAGGTACTCTTGGTCATAAGCTCTAAAGTTGACCGTTTTAGAGAAAAATCAACTTTTATGTTTAAAAACATGGTCAATTTTTTGAAAAAAAAATTTTATTACTAATTAAACAAAATTTATTTTAACGTTAGAAAAAGTAACAAAACCAAACGATAATTGCAAAATTAAAAAAAATAATAAAAAATGATTTTTTACACAAATGCTGAAATGTGCGAAATGCGTTACCTTTACGGTTTGGAGAATTTAGCAAAGACAACTTTTGAATCATTTTTTTATTTTGCAATTATGGTTTGGTTTTGTTACTTGTTCTAATGTTAAAATAAATTTTGTTTAATTAGTAAAAAAAAATTTTTTTTTTTTAATTGACCATGTTTTTAAACACAAAAGTTGATTTTTCTCGAAAACAGTCAAGTTTAGAGCTTATTACCAAGAGTACCTTTTTTGTGTATAAAACATGGGCCTCTCAAAACCGTACTTTTTTCAGGGGCGTAGAAGTTAAGGAGAAAAACACCCGCTACCCCTTCAAAATCTCCACCAATTTTTTCTGGCACAAAACATAGCTTATTTTGAGTAGAAAATGCTTACAAAAGCTGTTTTTTGTACGATAAACGGTTCCGGAGATATTCGAAAAAAACGAATTTTTTTCTAAAATTTCAACACCCTGTATCTCGAAAATTGTGCATTTTAGAGCGTAGGTTAATAGCGACTTTTTTCATCTTTTTGGATGAGCTATCACATCCTGAAGTCCTGCGCATATATTATGAAACACCCTGTATATAAAATTAACATATTTGTATTGTCTTAGGAGGAAGATCTGAAACGAACACTCGAAGACAGCGCAAGCATGCAACGCACCTACGATAAATATTTCGATCAAGTGATCACGAATAACGATTTTGACACAACGTTCCGTGAAATCATAGACGCCTTGGACTCCTTGACAACTGAACATCAGTGGGTGCCTGTCAACTGGATTTACTAAAATGTAAAGTTAAAAAACCGACTGCCATAATGTAATGTTAAAAACACAGCTCGTATGTGATAGTGTCAGATTTTTTGTTTGTTTTTAATTGAAAAAAGTTTGAGTTTTTAGATTTATACATAGTTGAAACCGCTCAGTACATCACAAGTGTTAAATTTTAAACTATTAAAGCTTAGTACTGAAAAGCTATTTTATATAAAAATGATAAATTATGGCCTAAAATCACCGCTTTTATATAAAGTTAAGTATACGTAGAGACAAGTATTCAATTCTCTCACTAAATTATGTCAAAAATACTCTTTGTAGCTATAGAATTAGTTATTAAATTTGTTACTGTAGAATTTTTGTTACAATAATGGCCGTATGCAGAAAGGTTAGTTAGGATTTTTTGGCTTAAAAAACGATCGAGCAGAAAAATCAAAACAATCCTTTCTGCATACGATTAAACTTAATAAAAAAAGTTAAAAAGTTTTAAATATTAAAGCTTAGATTTAACTAGTTTTAAACCTAGTTTAAGTGTTAAAATCTACTTATTTTATTTTATTGGAGACGTTCTATAATAATGTCCAAAGATGTACAAATAATATTAACATCGAATATAGGAAAATTTAGAATAATGTAAATAAACAAATAAAACTTAAAAACAGAGTTCGCCGTACTAAGAACGTAAAAAGGTAGTAGTCCTTTCTATGTCGTAAAATATTTGTTTTACCTCCTATAAGTTCATAGATAAATCATTATTAAAACAAAAATATATGGAGTTAAAACCAACATTTATAAGAACAAGTTTGGATGCAAGAGACAGCCTTAGGACTTCTCGCTACCCGTTAAGTGTAGATTAAGATTAATTATACAATTTATGTTATGTAATTGTGCTTATATTATTATTATTATTATTATTATTATTATTATTATTATTATAATTATTTTAACCGTCCAAGTGTTCAGGGAAGCAATTATTTTCAGATTGTTTAATTTTTTATTATTATTATTTGTAGATATACATATTTTTGCAGTTTATGCGTATTAAGTTGTTTATTATTAAATAAATATACAGATTTTGCACTATTTTTCGTTTTATTATACAAGGTAAGTATCTCCATTTGAAAAGTCTCCATAGAATGTAATATACGATTTTGTAAAGCATCAGACACATTTGTATTTATTTGTTCTTATACCTACCTACGATCATGAGATTTACAACTTTCAGTTGCCGGCAACGGCAACTGAAAGGGCTGCCGGCAACGGCTACCGAATTGTCTGCCGGCAATGGCACCTCAATGAGCTGCCGGATTCGACACTCGTACGAACTGCCTAGAAAAAATCATAGTTTTTATTAAATTAATTTTCTAAATATTTAATAGGTATAATTAAAATTAAAAACAAAAATAAAAAATGATTGTAATAATGAGACATTTAACAACATTTAACAAAAACATTATACGTATATTATTAAATAGGTAGGTATACCTATTTCATATATATATAAGGATACAAATATAAAATATAATAGGTTATAGAGTACCCATAGTATAAATATAGATATTTGGTAAATTCTCATATAACTTGTTTCGATGCTGTATCCACTTATTTTTGTGAAAACTAATTCTCGCTCAAGGTTTTTTTTAGTGTAATGAGCATGTAGCATTTTAATGTAATGGTAACCCACTGGGAAAGAAACCTTACAAAATATTGCTGCAATGTTCGCGGACTTTACAAATAAAATATTTCCTGTGCTACTTGCATTAACATAAATAAAATGTTACATTTGAAATATTGCATATAATAATTTCCAACAACCTTAAATTTGAAACATTATTTAAAGATTCACATGGAAAGTTTTTACAATGTTATATTTATAACATTTAGTATAAAATGTTGCATAAAAGTTTTTAAACATTACAATTATAATATTGCAGACATAACTTTTTTCAATGTTTCAATTGAAATATTAACACAAGTTTCAAATGAAAAATGTTTGCAACTTTACTTTAAATATACAATATTATTTTGGAATGTTTGGGAATATTTTTGAAACATTGCAATTATAATATTACATTGATTATTTTTTTTGACAGTTCTCTGTATTGTTGGGACATTGTTGAGGCATTGTTGTTGAGGGAACCTACAGCGAATTACAGCGATAATTTTTTGAAAATTTTCTCTGGTAGTTGCTATATATAAAAAACAAATTAAATCTTAATTAAATGTTGTTTTATTCATTATGAAATTCTTATTTGTTAACTGTACATTTCGTCTCATGGTGCAATTCTATTGGCCGACATTTGGGACGGAAAAATAATCCCCCGAATACCACACGAGCTTCAAAATTATCTGGCATTTCCCTCAAGGTTCCCTGCAAACAAATAAAGTCGTCAAGTTTTTCAGGAAAAATCACTCGCGCTTCGCGCTCGTGATTTTTTAACCTGAAAAACTTGACTCCTTCATTTGTTTGCAACGAACCTATCGGGAAAAATACCCGATAATTTTGAAGCTCTTGTGGTATTATAAGTGATAAGTTTTGGGCAATGTTTCATCCGAAATATTACATTAAGATGATTTTTGCAATGTTACTGTTTATAAACAATATAAACATTTCATTTGCAAGATTTTTGAAATATTGCAATTATAATATTACATTGATAAGTTTTGGGCAATGTTTCATCCGAAATATTACATTAAGATGATTTTTGCAATGTTGCTTTATATAAACAATATAAACATTTAATTTGCAAGATTTTTGAAACATTGCAATTATAATATTACATTGATAAGTTTTGGGCAATGTTTCATCCTAAATATTACATTAAGATGATTTTTGAAATGTTGCTTTATATAAACAATATAAACATTTAATTTGCTAGATTTTTGGAACATTGTAACTATAATATTACATTAATAATTATAACTTTACTTTTGGACTATGTTTCATTCGAAATATTGCATTAAGATAATTTTTGCAATGTTGTTTGCAGACTGACTTGCCGATGCATCTCGCCGCTGTCTTGGTAATTTATATCTTTATAAGTGAACAGTCCGAGCTTGTTATGTGTCTCCCGTCACCGACTGCCTGACACTGATGAGATCAAACAGGTCGAAACAGTCTCTCTGTCAGTGTTGGTGGGTATGGTGCATTACGGATAAATAATTATAATTAATTATTATTATAATAATTCATATTAATTTAATTGCAATGTTCCTGTAATGTTGCAGGAACCTTTCATTAACAAAAATAACATTTAGTAACATTGCAATTAATACATTTAAGCAACATTTTATTTGTAAATGTAATGTTCCTGAACCATAAGGCTTTGTTGCAATGTTCCTGCAACATTTTCACAAGGATTTTTGTAACATTACACCTAACAAATGTAATGTTGCAGGAACCTTACATTAACAAAAATAACATTTAGTAACATTGCAATTAATACATTTAAGCAACATTTTATTTGTAAATGTAATATTCCTGAGCCGGACATAAGGCTTTGTTGCAATGTTCCTGCAACATTGCCACAAGGATTTTTGTAACATTACATCTAACAAATGTAACGTTCAGTAACATTGTAGAAATATTATTTTTCCCAGTGGGAACTTAAATTATGACAACACTAATCTATTAATTTTTTCCTAAAATGCAGGCTTTATTTTGCAAATGTCACGTAAGTTACCGGTCACCAACTGCAATATCCTAACATTGATGAATATTTTAACAAAATGGCTGTTGAAACAACTAATGTTACTGCTTGATTAACTAAAAATAGACTTAAGATTGACGAAAAATTATTTTATCCGAAATCGGCACTAAAGTAGAACTTTACTGCCGATTTATTTTAATTTACGATTGTTGACTACTTTTACACGTTCTTCACGTCCTTCCAATGGACTGTATCTGTTGATTACACTTTTTAATTTATTATTTACAGATTCTAAACGATTTTTTGTTTTATTCATAAAACATAAATTTTGAAAAATTAAATATTGATCCCATTGATCGGCAATGCAGCCCCAATTAGAATCGTAATATTCTTTTACGATTTTCGTAACTTTTGTTGTCATTTTATCGTAAACTTTGCTATAATCAGATTCCGATAAGGTATACCTCATATATATTTGCAAGTTTCTGTAAATATTCTTTGCTGATCTTTACTTCATCTGCTTATACCTATTTTATTAAATGAAACTTCTCTAATATATTAAATATGTGGAATACATGAAAAACGCATATCATTAATTTTGCATTCGCGAAATGACTTTTAAAAATTCTTCGTTCTGTTTTAACTTTATCGGACATAACAATTTGTACTTTTCCCCAAACAGGATTTCGCTTTTTAAAAGTTTCTATAAAAAAAAATAATGGGCGGTTCATTTTCATCAACAAGTAAACAAACTGCGACTATCTCACTAAAACCACAGCCATCTTCTATCATTATTATATATGTTGCTGTTTTAAGGTCAACCAAGCAATATGTACCATAAATGAACAGCATTTCTGGAAATGCCGTCAAATATATTTTCATTCGCTCATCTTGAAAATACAATCCCTTAAAAACTTTATCTTCATTTACTAACAATTGAATATTTTATGTTGTTCTTAGTTTTTAATAAAAATTTTTAATACTTTAATTTGTAATAAAGTGGTAATTTGTTAATTAAGAAACAACGTTTTATTTTTTCTACATTGGCACCGATGAATTTGCTGTAAAGGCCTACTGTTATTTATTTTTCAAACCCTTTTAATGGAAATAATTATGTTCTGTGGTGGGATCCACCAGGTAGATACTAGCTTAAGTACTGGAGAGGTTACATGTACTGATAATAATAAATAATAATAATAAATTTATTTGCCCAACAGAAAAAATTCCAATTACAGGACAAAGAACAAAAAATAAAAACTATAGTAACAGCATAATAGCAAAAATATAAAATAACTTATACATAGTAAAATAAGTCTATAAACAAAAATAAACTAGGACGCTTAAAAAAGTACAAATAATAAACGACAATTCAGAATAATTAATATCACACACTGATAAAACCTTAGATCATACATCCCTTTGTATAATCTAAAAATAAAACATTTTTTTGTAAAATTGTAAGTTATTTTCCTCAAACAAAATGCATACTCCACACAGTAAGTATTAAGTGTACTGCTTTTAACAAATTCAAATTTCCTTCCACATAATTTAAATGGTGCATTGGCCGCTTGGTAGATGGCGCAGCAGTGACGAATTTTGAACGCACGTGTGTGTTTAACAACAGCTGATGTTTTTGTTTAAATCGGTAAATTTACCTCAATTTACGCTTTTTTAAGTGTTGTTACGTTATTTAAAACCATTTAAATTGTTCAGTTATAGTTTTGTTGGTTATATAGTTAAAAATATATTGTATATTTGATTTTAGGGTTAATTTTTTAGATCCTAACCTTAAATTTTAGTTATAATATCGTTTTTAAACGTATTGCACCATAGTTTAGTTAATTTTTATGCAGTATACTTTAAAAATAAACCTAATAAATCATTTCAACCCTAGTTTATCTCAAAATTCTTTTTATTTTAGATTCCTTTAATACGAAAAATATCAGTTGATAAATTCGCGATTAAAAAACTACCCAAACTAGTTTTCCAGACCATGAGTGACTCCGTAGTGATAAGTGCATTTAAAATTGATAAAACAATGGACAATCATCGTGATTTTTCCAGTCAATATTCAGATTTTTCTGAACAAGTTGACGAAGGTGGCGACATCGTGGTTTTGAAAAGAAGTAACTCTCCGGAAAGAAACTTACCGGAAGGAGAATGGAGCGACGTAAAAGTAGAAGTTAAAGCGGAAGGAGATTTACAGGTAGAATAAAAAATAATTAGTTTGTTGGGCCTACTATTTACAACATTTCGCGTTGGAATAATTCATGAAGTCAGACCCTTTGGAATTAATTCACTTTTTCTAATTAATATACATAATTTACAAAATCAAAATAAGTACCTATATTACAAATATTTCTCTTACATATGTAACAATATATATTGGGGAACAAACTAGTATTTATAACTAGGGATGCACCGGATCGGGTATTTTGCCGATCCGGCCGGAACCGGAATTTCGGCCGCTGGCCGGACCGGATCGCCGGAATTCCGGCCGGATCGGGACCTAAATTTAAAATGTATGTGCATGACTATTTTTATACGTAAAACATTGAAAATATTGAGGCTGATTTATTTTTACTTTTTTTTTAAACTAGCTACAGTATGCAGAGTGTTTATTACTAATAAT